TACCATTTTGGTGTGAGTTAAATATTATAATCCTCTAAAAAGAAACACATCCTTGATGTGTAAGAGAAAGTTGTCTTCCTGTGTAAAATGTACAACATATTCTAAACTATTAAAAGACAAATAAAGATTTCCTTTGAAATGCAAACAGGTCATGTAATCACCTGCTTACAACCCTCCTATGGTTTCTTGCTACATTTAAAGTGAAATAAGCTGAGCTGGGCATGGTGGTGCAAGCCTGTAATTCCAGCACTCAGGAGGCTGAGGCAGGAGGATCACTGTGAGTTTGAAACAAGCCTGGGCTACATAGTGAGACCCTGTCTCAAAAACCAAACCGACAAAAAGTAAATAAATAAGTAAATAATAAGATGTTCCTTCCCTCGGCCAACAAAGGTCATTATCATTGGATGCCCCAACTCTCTTCCTGCCACACAATGCCTTCCACCACAAAGTGAATGTACCTTACCTGCCTGTCTCTCTATCTAAAATGCTTCTCCCTCAGAATTGATAGGTCTGTCCTCGGCTGAAAGAGCTCATCCTCAAGTCACCCGCAGGATATCCACCTAAAAGGTACAGCCCTCTCTCCTGCATTTTTTTTCTTAATACTTATGAATATTTGAAATTATTGCATTTCTCTGTCTTTGGTATCTGTGTTCCCTGTTAAAATATAAGACCTATTAGAACAAGGTCTTTCCTTTTCTTGACTAGTCCACAACTAATCCAGAGCCCAGCAAAGAGCCTAGCATGTAGAAGGCCATACACTGAATGAATAAACAGGCAGAGTTGATATTTTTTATTATATTTGGAGCTGGGTGTTCAATACATAAGTATGTTGCTATTATGGGAATTTTAATAGGAAAATAACAAAATTCTAATGAAATATTAGTAAGTAAATTATCTCAAACTCAGTTAAGCTTAAGAAAATTCAGTGGTAAGTACTTGAATAATCTGAATGAATTATACCCACATAATTTATTTGTTTTTTAAAAAGCATGCTCTTTAGTGGAATGATTTTTTTTCCCCTTAGAATGTAGAACCATTGAATTGATGGAGTTCTCATAAAACAAGCAAAAAGAAATGTTCAGAGGGCCAGGGATTTAGCTCAGTGGCTCTGTGCCTGCCTTCCAAGTACAAGGTCATGAGATCGATTCCCAGTACCAAAAAAAAAAAAAGTGCATAAGCTAAAAATCTAGACATACATCAGTTGTCAAGTAAACAGGCAGTATGCACAGAAGAAAAATTATCAAAATCCAGAAAAAATATGTAGATTAAAATTCTAAACATCTGAAAATGAAAATATATTTATATCTAATCAGTTTTGCTTAAAAATAGATAAATGCCACAAAATTAATGTCAAAATAATACTGTCACTATTACTTAGTAGGGATTTGATAGTCAGAAGTAAAAAGCCATTATGGTTAATTTTTCAGCTATGTCTTTCAGTTTAGTGGCTTCCTTCTCTTCTAAAATCCCCAGTTAAGGATGGGGGAAGACATTATTAATTTGCCAGCAAGTAGTTCATTTTATAGCCATTTTAAGTACTATTAAAATCCTTCTGCAAATATGGATTATAGATTGAGTTTTTAATGAGCATGAATGTTTTCAAATTAGGATTTCAAGTATTTTAAAGTTCGATGGTTAAATTGTTTTATTTCTGGACTAAAGACTAATTATTTTGAAATTAAGACATCATTTCTGTCTGTGATTTTCAACTCTTGGTTCCTACCAGCTGAAAGCAGTCCAATCAGCTGATTAGCATGATCTTCAGATTATCCATCAATGTTTGGACCATCCTTTATGTCTACATCCAATATATGCAAGTTTCTACACTCATATATTAAAAAAACAAAACAAAACTGTGGGCAGGGGGCTGGGGATATAGTTCAGTGGCTCCACATCTGCGTTGCAAGTGCAAGGTCCTGAGTTCAATCCCCAGTACCACACACACAAAAAAAAAAACCCAAAATCAAAATCTCTGTGGACTAGTGATATTAACATACAGAAGGAAATATAACCCACAAGTCTACAAATTAGCAATGTCTTTCAATGTTCTTTTATGAGAAAGCTACAAATTAAAATTAGAGGCATATTATCACTTTAAGCCATATACAACCATACCTATGTATTCACCAAATCACATGTACACATCAGAACAGATGGTGATGCTTCACTTTATCAAAGGCTATGACACTAAATGTAAACCACTAGTTTATCCATGACAGAATATGACTTCTTCAAAAATCATGTATATTTATTTACTGTTTTTTTAAGATAACAAATTGTATTGAAATGACATTGTCATCAGTTTCATACTGAGTTGATATCTTGTCTTCCAAAAATGTCAAAGCAAGGCCACATCTGTTATCTTTTTCCACACACACTCAGTAGTTTGGGTAGTATAACACCTCTATATTACAATGTTCTTTTTTTATAGTTTGCAGATGATATATTATCGTTTTTTTCTTTTTTAATTTTTAATTTTATCAAAAAATAACACAAAATTTTATAATAAGAGAATAATGATAGTAATTACACTGTTTCATTATCTTCAAAGTAGTTTCTCAGAGTACAAGATATAAACCAAAAAAAAAAAAATCCTAAAAAAAAAGGAACAGATAATAACACAAGTCTTTATTTTCAGTGAACTAAGATAAACTAGTAGTATAAGTGTAACCAGTTACCATACAAATTGAAATATTTTTAAAACAATGGGAATTGTAGTTTGGGGAAGTATTTGAATTTCTCCCTATTTCCTATGTATCCGTTTTCTATTTTGTTCTTTGTGTTCTGCATATGACTTATCTCACTTAACATTATGCTCTCAAGTTGCATCCATTTTTCCGACAAACGCCTCAAATTTATCTCTTTGTAGCAACATAGATCTCCACTGTGTACAGATACCACATTTTCCTTAATCTGTTGATTGTCATACCTGCTGTTTCCAAGATCCGGCTATTCTAAATTGTGCAGCAATAAACATGGGTATGTTCATATGGATATGAAAGGTATCTAGAAAGGAACACCTGGATCAAATGGAATTTCTATTTTTAGTTTGAGGAATCTCTACACTGATTTCCCTAGTGGTTATACTAGTTTACATTCCCACCGTATTTCTCTTTAGGAATAGGGAAACAAAAGAATTAGTAGACTTGCTTCTCAATCACAAAACAGGCTTATAGCAAAATGAATGCTTACTCCTGATCCTTCCAATTTCTTTGTCACCAGTGGCCACACATATAACATTTTTAAAAAATGAGAAGGCTTACACATGAACAGATTTTCTACTCATGTTATCTATCCTACATTGAGTGAAGCATTAAAGCGAAGTGGTAGGTCCACAGAACTAATATTTTAGTGTCCTAAAATTGTAAATTAAATTCCATAATGAAATAAAACAGGCTATAATAAGATATTGTATTTATTATTACTTCAAATTGTACCCTTTTCTTCCACCAAAGTGCTTGTGCTTCAAATGTTTTAGGGAATCAAAGCAATTGTCACTCTTTAAAGAAAAAAAAAGGACATCATTATTTCAGAAAATGTCAAACCCTAAGTGTGCCTAGTAGTTTAATTAAATGTGACAATCTTAAATTCATTCTCAAGTAAGAATTTGTGTATCTCAATCATATTATGTTTTCCTTTATAAAAATATTTATGGAATTTCATTAGACTTAGCCCTTTTTTATTGAGTTGTTTTCCCTTGGAATAATATGAAATAATGTGATACAATGATCTTGCTTCAAGGGTTTATTAACATGATATTGTTCCAGAAATGGAACACCAGAAAAATCACAAAAATAAATCAGATGATTTGTTTAGACAATTGATATACATTTCTAACAAATGTGCTTCAGAAACTGAAAACAACTCCATTTGGAATCTTTCTAATAATTTTGTGATGAAAACAGAAATAAAAAATAAGCTCTCTTGAGGGGGTAAGAATAATGGGGTTGAGCCTAAGGCATTCACAGTAAGTAACATCCCCAGCGCTTTTAAAATTTTATTTGACATAGGGTCTGACTAAGTCACTAAATTCCCCGGGCTGGGTTTAAACTCACAAACTTCCCACCCCAGAATCTCAGAATATCGGGATCATAGGCTAGTATCACCCTGCCTGGCTAAAAACCTAAACTTTTTTTTTTTTTGGTTTTTTGAGACAGGGTCTCACTAAGTAGTTGAGACTGACCTGGAACTCACTGTGTAGTCCAGGCTGCTCTCACAGAGATCCTCCTGCCTCAGCCTCCCTGTGCGGGGATTACAGGTGCACGCCACCACATGTGGCTTAAAAATAAAACTATTTCTAAATGCTGGGAAACACTGATGACTGAGATACAGGCTGTCTGCTAATAAATCCAAACAATGTACAATAGATGTCAGTGTTTGATAGCGAAGGCTAAAGGATTACTTCTCTCAACCAAGACAGTTAATTTCTACTGAAATTATATTTTTCTTTTCTCTATTTTAAGGCATTTAGATTAATGTATCATTGCTATTTTAAATATAATATAAATCATGGGAGTAGGGGTCAGGTGTTCTTGGCTATCTTCAGCTCACATTTCAGGATCTGGTGACTCTGAAATGATTCAGTGATATTGATATGGTTTGATAATAACCTCGTAGAACTTAGGGGGTGTGATGTTTACAAATGGTCAAAAAGATTTTTCTGCAGGAGTGTTTTCTTCTCAGTGAAAAACAGTCCTTAGTTTTTAAGTGTCCTCCTTTCCTACATCGTTCTTTCTAAATGTACACCTCATATACTGAGGCAATTTGAAGCCTCTGAACGAAGTACCGGATGTAGGAGAAATGGTCAATTTAGGGGCTCTGGGAATAGTAATCAAGGATTCCCACAGCTTTCATGTAAGGTTTGTGGGCGCATGCCAGGATGATGGTATGAAGAGCCCTAGCCCTAAGGTTTGGGTCTCCAGGGACCTCTCTAGTTCCAATGAGTTAAGTTACCATGCTACTTATTAACAAGCTTACACCCACCCAGTAAAGGTACTTACATGTAAATTAAATATTCTCTCCATCCTGGAATCTCAGCAAATTCAGAATTGGGAATATGTGAGTAACTGAATCTTTTTTTCAAATGACTTCACCTTGAGCAGCTAAACATCCCAATACCATTGTTAGAGACAGAATTCCTAAATGAAAGAAAGATATTATCATTTTGATTAGTTACTTAAAGGTTTTTAATTCTTTATGGATCCACTATGAATTATGCATCTTTTTTATTGATTAGAGACAGTTATATAATTTATTTTTTTTTGTCCTCTGTACAATGATTTCATTCATTACAATAACCAGAATTCTTATTTCTTCACAACAGTTTACAAATTATTTACTTTTTTTTTTAACGTAGGGTGTTTGTTAAGGATCTCACTACATTGCCCGGCTGGACAGAGCTCCTGAGGTCATGATCTCTCTCTCTCATTCCTTCTGAGTTCTACATTTTTTAAGGACAAATGTACAAAAGAAACTAGTGTCCTTAACTTTGCAAAAGTTAGAGGACTATTTTATTCATTTAAACAAAAATCTATAAACATCTTAAGGAAACATTTTAATTTTATAATCCTAAACTGTTTTTTAATATTTCATTCCCTCTGTACCAGAAATTTAGCTCACCTCCTGATCTCTTTTAAAATAGCTTTATCTTTATTTTCATTTCATAATAAATCCTTTACATGTTCTTTGAGGAGAAATGGCCTTACAGATTACTTCTTTCCCCCTTTGAATACATTTGAGTATCATGACAAGTAATCAAGAAGTCTATATAATAAGGTAATATAATGGGACAAAAAGCAATACAATACTTACTTTTCCAAAAGCCTAATGGTCAACATGGATAATTATTTTAGTAATGTGGTAAATCAATTCAAAATTCAATCAAACTTTGTAAGTTTATATTGGATTTAACCAGTTGATTTAACTTACTGATGGAAAACTTTCTCTAACAATTATTGAAATCACAGATTTAGAAATGGAAGCATTCCATTAGCCAACCAGCTCTCCCACTATAGCAGCACAATGTTATACTTTCTTTTCTCTCTCACCTTAAGAAACAAGGATGTTCTGTGATCTCTATCACTTGGGTTTAAAGGACATGATTTCTACTGAGTTTAAAATATCCATCTGCATAAAATACAACTAAGGACCTAAAATTCAGTGCAAATTTTAATTTTCAAAAGGTCTTTTAAGATAAAATTTTTTCTATTGTTCCAAGATTGGAGAACTGAGTAGAACAATTTATGTACCGAATATGTAAGTTTTGATGCGCTTTCTAAAGATGCAATAGATATGAAATTTACTTCAATCGAGACTTAGATTTTACCTAAATGAAGACTAGGATGTCTAGCCTCCACTGCTTAGAAAAATGGCTTCAGCATTTTCTTTTTCTGCTGGAAAGCAGCTACCTGGTGATAAATTCACCAGTACTTTCATAGCTGCTCTCTGTAGTAGGACAGGAAAGGGTGCTTTCTCTTATGGTTCTTCATGGCCCAGTCCAAACCATGTAACAACCTGGCTCCTACTAAAAATTTTAGAATAAACAAAAGGAAGAACTATATTTAGCACAGTGGGGTTTACGTTTAAGGAGACCATAAACTGATTTTGTGCTGAAAGTAAAAACAGTCCCAAGAGTTTAAATGAACTCTTCCATCCTAGAATTACAGCAAATTCAAAACTGGGAATATGTTAGTAACTCCGAATCTTTTTATAAACTGACTTCACCCTGGGCAAGTAACCATCCCCTGATGCCATTGTTGGAAAAAGAATTTCTGGCTGAAAGATCATTTTTATGATTTAATCTGGCTAGCCGTTCTTGGTTAATCATCCTGTTTCTCACAACATTTCACTTCTCTATGGTGGTCACCATTTATTTTCAAGAGCTCTTAAGTGATTCTATTTCTCCAACCGTACGTCTCCTTATCCCATTTGAGATTCCCCCCTCCTTTCCTATCGCCTTTCTTTCACTAAGATTTTGCTAAACATTACACACAGCACATGACCTCCAGACTTCCAGTGTCTCGATTAAACCGGTATAAAAAGTTGATTAGCACGGTTGTAAGCTTCTTAGTTTGGAATTTAAACTCGTCTTCGGTTTTTCAACTCTTAGTGAACTTTCACCACAAAACTTAAATTTAAAAATAATTTAAATAAAGAAACCACCCCCCTTTCACCTTTAGTCCCGCCCATCGCCTTCCCCTGGCCTCCACGCGAAACTCCGCAGGAAGACGGAGGGGGCGGGGCACTGACGTCACGACGCTAGTGCGTCAGCGAACGGCGGCGGCTGCGGCGCTGGC